TATGCACAGTAAAAAAGTGAATCAATAAGTAAATTTTATGCACAAGATAATACAATAAAAAATAATGTTAAACCAAGGTCATCATTCCTTCAAAAAAAAAAATAATCAAATATAAGTTAGAACCTTACCCGATTGCTAAGCGATTGAGACACAGAACCGCCCTGACTTTTTATCATATTTTCTAGATTTTGTTTTTCAGATTCATTGTAGCCATGCAATACAAAGTTCTGACCTTGAAATGGTTTTTGTGGGTTATGACTAGTTTTACCATTATTACGACCATTTCGAAAACTTGAAGGTGATCTGCTGAAATTCAAGTGAGGATTGTCACCCCTTTCTGGCAAAGTATCTTCTTCGTCTTCGTCATCATAGGGAGTATTAAAACGAACAGAGGGTTTCATTTTTTTGATATTGACTTTTTTTAGAAGTGGCTTTAATTTACAAAAATTTAAAGGTTTGACGAAAAACTAGAATGTTAATATCTACAAAATTTTTTTTGCATTTGTCATAAACACGTCTTATTTCAATTCTTTATTTAAGACCGTTTTAATATATATATGTTAATTTTATCTGCAAATAAACGTGAATATATTATAGATAAAGTAATTTTTTAATCTTGTAGTTTCACACGCCTAGCCGATTAATAAAAAATAAACTCCTTAATTGATATTCTTTCTAACTAGAAATGTCAAATTTCTATAGTTTATATAAGATTTTCATCGTCGTACATGGCAAATACATACATAATTTACTAAGATAATCTTAAGCTAAAACAAAATTGATGTTAATGATAAAAAAAAAATTATATATAGATTTATTCTACAAGAGGTAATTGTGTATCATCAAACCCACAACGAATCAATTTGCCTTGTTTTGTTCCAATCAATAAAAAACGATCGTCAACATCCATAAAGGTAGGTTGTTCAGTTAAAGTTAACAATTTAAAACCCTTAAGAGAATCGACACCTTGACCAGGTTCAGTTAAAAATTTGACGTTACCACCAGGTTTCACAACGCAAATAGGCCCAGTTGATGAGCAATTGCTTAAAACAGATCGACCTTTACCAGCAAGGCAACCACACCATGGAACTACAGCAGGTGCATCCATTTTCCAATTGAAAGTAGGTGGTTTTGTTACATCTATCTCCATTGTAACTGGTACGAATTGCCACTTTAAAAGATAAATAAAGTCTTGGGTGGCACATAGAATCCATTCTCTGTTAATGGCCGCACTATGCAATATGTCATCAAAAACCATTGGAAGAAACGAATATTGCTGTATAACCTTGTTTTGTGTCACGGAAAACACTTGAATAATGCCATCGTTATGAAGTGAAACTATAGTATTTGAATTAACGACTTTCACGTAAAGTACCTATAAAAAAGAAATATATATATATATATACCTGATTAGATTATTTTTTGATATCAAAATATTTTATATTTTTGGAGCAAAAAAAAAAATTATTATATCAAATAAATTCCCACCCCACCCCGAGTCTCAAAATATGTTAACAATTTGGTAGAACGCCAGTCCCAAACGTTAATTATACCATCGTCCGAACCAGAAATTAAGATTTCTTCTCCTATATTCACACAATTAAGTGGAACTCGTTTAGGACTTGCGAGCACCACTTTGGAATTTCCTTCACGAAGATTATACACGTGAACGAACCTATAAAATTCCTGCTTAATCCATATATCGATAGATACAATCATAAAATTTCATTCAAAAAAAAAAAAAAAAGAAAAGAAAAAGGAAATAGCTTACTCCATCCGAAAGGATACAGCAACTACCCATTTCTTTGGCAAAAAATCTACTTCTTCTGCCATATGGTTTAATAATATAGCAGATAAGCAGAGACCCCGCTCAACATCCCAAAATCGCATAGTTCTATCCCAAGCGAGACTGACA